AGAGAGAATCAAGATACATTCCTGTCCGTGTTTTACTGAATCTGAGTTTAAACAAGTTTGGTAAGTGGTTTGGCAAGTATTCCGTTTCATATTACTCTAGTCCTAGAAAAAAAATAGTATAATGAGATGTGACCTCATCAGCAAGATTTAAACACCAAAATGTATGCATCATCTTGAGATGAAGTGAAACATTTACTCAGAGCAGGTTACAGGATGCAATCAACTCCTTTAAAATACGGCAAGTTAACAGCTTTCATGGTGGCCGTTTGTTCAGCACAGTATGATAACATAAGACCACCTAAGGACTGCAAGATAAATTAAAACTCAAATGTGGAAAGGACTATTGAAAGTTATCTACATTTACAGTTCAATCACACATTTTTATTTAACATCAGTATACAGAGGACAACCCCAGCAAGTTATTTTGTACTGTCAAGTATTTAGTAAAGTTTTTCAGCTGTAACAGTGACAATAGAACAGCTAAAAATAAGCAGTATGAAACAAACATGATCTTCTTGAAATTATAAATATACCAACAATACTTCTTAAAGCTTAATTATTGCAACAGTTAAATTAACAATAGTTCATGTTAGAAAGGCTCTATGAAATTTATTCAAGTTGTCAAGAAATTAAATGGAAGTGTAAAAAGGAAATACATATGAATTTTACTTTTGATTTTCACTAAAGGTAGTCAATACAATTTTGTACAGTATCACCTAACATGTCAATCCTTAACAAACTCCAGTATACAGAATTCATAAAATGCAGAAAAAAATAGTTTAATCTTTACACGTAAATTGACAGTAAATTAACTGACACAAATTTTATTACTGTAACATAAGCAGGCCAGCATTTAAAATATTAATTTAGTAGCTTTATGTTGTTAAAGGGGCAGACATATACAGTCATTCCAAGTACATAATCAAATTTTAAGAGGTGATATTTCAGAACATGGGTTTTCTAAAAAGTGTTTAGTAAAAGTCATGTTATTTCCTAATGCAGACATCCCCATCATAAACCCTTTACAGGGTCATGATCTCTCCTGGCTTTACCGGAGCCACCGGGCACACCTCCTCACGCACGCACACGCACAAACACGCACACCTCGCTATAAACATCCCACCAGTGTACTAGGTTTAGATTCACCCTGATAACGCGGGTGTGCGATGTGCAACTTTGCTATCATGCACATTACAGAAAGCTTCAAATTTTAGTGTGGTAACCTGAAGTCATATAGCTGTCTTTCAGTTCTATGATAATCGTCCCTGAAGTTTATACAGATACCGTATCACGTTGAAAGAAATCTATTTGATAGCACTTAAATACCAGCAATTGAACTTCAATTGTAATGATGAAATGCTCCTTTCCATTGAGGAAGAATTAGTATGTATAGCTGCTCACCTCACTCAAATATAGTACATGAATGTTTAAGTACTTTCACTAAAACAGAAGTCATACTAAAACATGATACTGTACTACAATTGTAGTTAACTAGAAAATTCAAGGATGTTATAATTTAAGCCTAAGTTTTCCTGTACAACAAGTCAAATAAATAAATTCCATGTGCATTTGTTTTACAAAACGGTAGCATGTTTATCTTGCTAGGTTATACACTGCCATTTCACCTGTTCACACTGCTGGCCAATCTTACCTTGAGCTTTCCTACAGAGGAAACAACTGATCAGCAACTTCCATTCAGATACAATGGAGTCACTGCACAAGATGGTGAACAGCTAATGCTGAAGTCAAACACAGAAGTCACACAGATAGTTCCTCTGACCACTGAGTTCAGAGAAAGCTTGTTTTGCATATCCAGGTACCACTTTGGTTTTTCAGGGGTTTTGAGGGTTACTTCTGTTGGTTTTTTAAAACTGCTTCTGCAGGTCCTGTAATTCACTTTGAAGCAGCTATAATGATAGCACATGAAGTTCACCTTGGCTCCTTTAGAATTATTTTTATGCATTTTCAGATTAATAGAACAGTTCTATAATCCCACGTAGGTTTCCCACCAGAGCCTGGGAAAGACGGGGGAGAGGTGACAGTTACCTGTCACCTCTGTGTTGAGAAAAACAACATACTCTTGTTAAGGCAACCTATCTTTCTCACCACCCTGAACCTTCTTCTGCAGAAACAGGCTACCAAAAAAATGAGAGTAAAAAAATTGAAACTAATGAACCCTCAGCCTCACTCAACTTGCTCCTCATTGAATGTTGCCATTCACGTCACCTCACTCTGGCAGGGAGTTAGTACAACAGTTCTGGAAGTGCAATGCAAGAATGGTACATCCAGTGAGGAAGCTCAAGGTATGATTATGTACACACTGAAGCAGTAATTTGGAAAGTTTATAAACAGTCAGGACACACGGTAAGCACTGTACAGCTATCAACTACCATAAGGGTCACAGCTGAAGAGTTGTTTCTGGATTTATTTTTTCCGCCCCCACTAAGGGCGGCACCAGCCCAGCCACAAAAATGATGAGAACTTGTCATTCACTGACCAATTATCCAGCATGTCTTTTGATGACTATTAAAAATGAGAGGGAAAGGTAGCACTGGCTCAATGGAAATTACATTAAGACACTGCGAGCCTGCTTCAGCTCTCCACTCAACTCTTTCTTTAGGCTGGCAGTGGCATGAATTTAATGCAGGCCTTTTGAGGCAATGATGGAAGCAGCAGCAAGATGTAGAGGCTTTCACTCTAGAGTTGGCAGACAAAAAAAGTGACTGAGTTTTAAGATCACTTGGGGACCCATATTTCAAAAGGAAGACTAGAAATAGCAGCTTTAAACCCCAGAGTAATGGGATAGCCTAAGATAAAACAGCTGGCAAAACAGAAATGAACGGTATATAACCCAGTAAGAAAGACATTACCATGAGTGTTTTATACTTTGACAATTTTCATTAAATAAAATTAAGTGCTTTCCTACAAACAAAAAGGATGTTCATAACGTCCTTCTGGCACAAATATTTTCCTACCAAAGCCCTGTAAACATGCCACCAAAATTTAGATTTTACCAGCAGAGTGAGCTCACTAGAAATGCAAGTGAAATCAGAAAAACAAATTCATTTCAAAATTTCTAAGTAAATACTTCCTAAACAATATGGCATTTACATCAGTGTGCAATATATTAATTTTGAAAGTGATAACTTCAGCATGAAAATTACTTACCTGTAATTAAAGTTTTCCATATTGGCCAATACATAAATCCTGATTTTTGGTACTGCATACTTTATCTCTGAAATATTTGAAATGTCATATTCCAAATCAAAGTCAATACACAAAAATATCTAAGTTATACCCAGTCTAACAAAACCCACCTCAGCCACTGAAAATAAAGTTAACGGTGTAGCGTTTAGCAGTACGTGAAAGAGTTTTAGAACAAAGAAAATATAGGTCGCGATGGAAATCTGAGGCACTGCTGTACGTGTATGAAGGTAATTCGTAAGAATTGCACTGAGTCACAGAGGCAATAACTGCTTTAGTATTTTCATTTAAGACAAACATTTTAAATAGTTTACAGTGTTTTGGGGGTGCTGCTGCCTTTTTTTTTTTCTTTGTAGTAAATTGATGCTGGATCTGTAGTTCTTAGGCAAAGAATACTTTTAGGTAACACCCTCCTCCCTTTTCTCCAGAAAAGGGTTTACAATTTTTAGTTTTTGATTGAACCTTTATGCATTAAGATGCAGAGCGGATATAGCTCTCTACGCATACCTATGTTGTGACAAATTTGATAACGTCTCAAAGAAACCTACATTATACAAACAGTTTTAAGAAAAATTATTGAGTTTTACTTAAAAGCTTATAGCAATGAAGATGTGGTATCTAAATATATACAGTACCTCCACTTCAAAAGTCAAATTTATGAACCAAACGGTTAAAACCTAATGAACATCAGATTTTCATTTAGGTTGCCCAACATGGTAATATTCAGGTATTACCAGATTCTTACTTTTTCTTCAGGTGATAACCTACATGCCCTTTCAGAAATTTTCACAAAAATAATGGTCCTTTTTGCTAGATCAACTCTAGTAATGTTTTCATAGTTCTATTCTTTTCAAATGTTGCTGGCAAACAACGCTATTGTAGCACAAAGCACTTTTTAATAAAATGACCACATTTTGCTTCATTCAAAATTTAGCTTGCTGTACACTGGACAGAAAAAAAGTTTTAACTGCGTTCAAGTGCATTTACAACAAGAGTTAAAACTAGTAATATATTTTAATGAAGGTTCAACTGATAGAACAGGTGCCATCAAAAAGCACGATCTTTCAATGATCAAATTGCCTAACAAAACTGACAGTAACGTAACACTGAAACTACTTAGAGAAAGCTTGCGTGATTTTCCGTAACTGAACAAATACATAAATCAAGACCTGGCTAAAATTAAGAGTTCCTTGATAATACTGATTCACAATTCCAAGAACATAAACTACAATCAGTAAAGGGCTCACAAATCTGTGCATAAAATGGCTGATGTTTTAATAAGAAGCGGTTTCACATTAATGGCAGGCCACCACAGAAAAGTACGGAGTAATAAAATACTTTGGTTTTAATTTTTTCAGAGGCTCACATTTGTCATTAGACTTAAAAGCAGCAGCTTTTCATAAGCTACTGTCATTGGGAGTGCTCTATTTTGCAGAAAACATTAGAAGGATTATAATTTAGTGATTCACAGATTTTACTTAATTTTTTACATAAATAGCTTTCACCATATTGTGGTTATGCTTAAGTATAAGAACACTGATCAATAATTTCAATGCACAGTATTTATTTCTTCTGCTGGAAGGCAACTATACTTAATAATTGTATCCAAGACACTTCAAATCATTCAGAAATATGGCATGCAGTATCCAAAAGTATGGCTCTGAGGATTTTTTTATTATTTTTTTTTTTACATTAAGCATAAAGAAATTTTATATTCAACATTCATTTATATTTTCAAGAAAACTACCTATTCAGAGTTCTAGTTCTTTGATGCAGCATTAAGGATTAAAACTTACCACTTTACCAGGCCTTGCCCATGTGCAAATAAATCCCTCCTGACAAGCAGTGACTATACAGTCTTCAAGAAAAATTAACACAGTCAGTCTTTCATGTGCTATCTTTTTACAGATAAGAGGCTCTAACAAGGGAACATCTTCCATTCGGGGACAGAGAGGTGTTCCCAAAGTTTTAGCTGGGTCCGTTTTGGTTTTAGTAACTAGGTTCAGTTTGTCACTGCTCTTGCTAGATATATGTCCCATGCTATGATTTCTCTTGTGATCTTTTTCATGGTGTCTTTCCTTCCGATCGTGTAGCGATAAGGTCGCAAATTTACTAACGCCAGAAGCAATGGCACCATCCATGACGCTGCTTTTACTGCCAGCGTTTGAGACTGCCGAGTGTGGAAGGCTGTTTGACCGCGGAAGAGGAGGGGGTACAGAGTTTCCAGGTGTTGTGATACTGTTTCCATTGCTTCCTGGGTTAGTTCCACCACTTCCAGCAGGTGGACTTGTGGCATTCATGACATTTGTATGTGTCCTTGCTCTTGAGAGAGGTTGGTGGGGGAAGAGGATATCTTCTGTAAGATCCCACAAACAGAGCTGTGTGTCCTGGCCTACTGAACCAAATCTATACGTAACGCTCACTGGACGACTGTCTGTAGAGTTCCTTTTGGATAGCCTAGATTGCGTACTATTTGCTCGATCTCTGCCAAAATGAAGGTCTTGGAAATCCTCGTCACTTCCGCTAAATTCCATCGGGTCACTCTCTTCTACACTAGTGGTATATGGGTCAAACGCAACAACACTGACCCACGATTTATGTCCGTGGCCTCTCGCTATTACTCGACAGTCCACGAAAGACCAAACTGTTACCAAGTCATCCTCTCCACCTGTCACTATGTATTTCCCATCGGGACTCCAACACACACACAGCAGTCCTCCAAAGTAGCTTTTCATTGTACCATGCAATTCCACTGAATCAAAGTTAAATACACGAAGAAAACCATCCTGGCTCACGCACGCCAAGAACTTCCCATCTGGGGAAAAGGCAAATTCGTTCAGGGCACCCTCACCTACTGTCCATTTAAGCAGAGGGTTTCTTGTGGATTTACTCTTGCAAGTGTGAACTGCAAAACTTTCTCCTTGTTTAAGTAGCTGGTAGTGCGGGGCTGTGGTACCACAAGTGTGCTCCACGTTATACAAGTACATATTGCCACTGGAATGGGCTACTAGGAAAAGGCTTTCCGAACCTGGTACCCATTTTACACAGGTTACTCTGGACTTGTCTATTAGTCTCTGTGAAAAACAAAGAAGATACACATCAGAAAGTCTGAAAATTAAAGTTTTAATGATTAATGGTAAATCTCAAGCTTTCTAGGGGATGAGGAACAATACTTAAGCAAAGTGAACTCAACTTTCTAGAAAGGAGCTATGTGACTGTATTTGCAAAAACTTACAACCTTATCAGGCAGTAAAGAGAAAATAAATTTTTAGACAAAGTGCTAGCAAAGGCTACCATTATGGTCCAGTCACATTCCACAAAGAACATACTTCAAATCAAGCCAATCTGTTGTTATGAATCTAAAGATAGTGCTCTTAGGTTTATTTTTCGCTGTGTAGGTTGAAGAGCAAAAAAGGAAACAATCCAGAAAACACAGAATAAGCTAAAGGGAAAAAAGGCAGTTACTCATCTGTACTACACAGCAAACTGGTTAAGAATCAACAACAGTAAATTTAGACTCTGGTTTTATCTGAAATCACAAATAAAATCCATCCTCTGGAAAAAAAGAAAAAAAAAGAATAAAAAGAGGCTTTAGGAGCCTTTACCAGCTTTTACTGAATCAGGGAGCAAAAGCTACATAGACATAACACCCCGTTATTACGTGGCTGGAAAGTCAGGAGTTAAACACACGCAGTTCAGTAAATTCAGAAGGACCCACATACTCTTCACCTTGGAATCCCCATCCTCCAATTACTTTCACTCATTAGCCAAGGACCTGTCAATACTCCCAGTTACCACCTGCTTAAGAAGTTCCCTTTAAAGAAAAACATTTTAAGAGAGTCCATCATCACAAAAGAATGAACACACACATTAAACAAACATTCCTGATCATAATGTCTTCAGTGCTGTGGGAACAGAAAGATAAAGTTTGACTCCTTGAGTTTGCCAGTGTAGTTCTGGTGGACTTCTAAAACTTACCCAGTCAGTCATGGCATCACTCAACTGCAACTTGGGAGACAAGTAATTCTTTACATGCACTTTCAAGATTTGTATTTGGCATAGATTGATTGTAGTCAAAAAAAAAAAGGAGGTAAGCTACACAAAAGGCAAGAATGCAAATACAAAGAGCCTAAGGAAATATCATAATAAGTTACAAAAGCAGTAAAAAACACAGAAGAAAAAAAAAATCATCCCCCCAAAACCTTGCTATGCTGTTTGTCACAAAACCCCAAACTAATGGATAATGCACTGATTGTTATCCATTCTGGGTCTGAGACTATCACTGGAAAGCAGCACCTGGTCATTTTAGATTATACTTTTGCTGCTGCCAACCTCAGTGTAAGACCAGGAAGCTTCTCTTCTGCAACTCCGCATTGGTTAAATTAGCCATTTTATACTCGAGAGCCGAGAGATCTAACTTAATCTGGGCACTTTTCCTCAAATGCGGTAGCTTTAAAACCACACATTCTGAGCTTCTGTTGTGAGACTTTAAACAGTTTGTCATGTGTGCATTGATACATATCATTCATGTCTCAGGAATGATGATAGCAGAAATTAGACAGTAAGTTACCTGGCACACACCAAGACAACATGGACAGGGAACATCAGCCCATCTGGCTTGCTATAGGCAATAGCCTTCTTGTTATGAAACTACCATTTTGTTGCCATTGCTAATATGGCAACAAAGCAAAACTTCTTGCTCTCCTCTACTAGAGCAGCTCACCCTGACATACAACCTTGACTCATAAGTGCAGTTGCTCAACTTTTATACTAGAAATGGCATTTTAAATCCATAACCTTGTTGGTCTACGCAACCTTAAATACTGTACAGTAACCGTGCAAACCTGATCTTTACTTCAAGGAGGCTACGAACAAAACAGAACATTGCAATCTGCCATGAGAACAGATTGGCTCAAGGAGACAAGATGCAGAGAGACTTTAAGCTGATACGTAGCAAGTGGCTACAACTCATGTCCTTCTCAGCCAGCAGAGCTTTAAATTCAGCAGTAATAAAAAAGTAAGATGAAAGAAACATAATTCAATTGGCTAGCTTGAGAATAACCAACTACCACTTGGAAACAACTGAATCTGTGAGGTATACTTGGGTGGTTTTGGGAATAAGAAAATACCACTAATGTAATTCTGACACAGCTAGAAGGAATACCACTGTTGATACAGATTGATTCAGGTAGGCAGCCACAAGCTGCACAGTATCACTCACCTCAGCCTTTCGAGTCCCTATAGTCTTCTATATCAATAGAATTACAAAAAAAAAGGGAAGAGTAACAAGTTAAAAAGCAATAGGCCTTAACGCAGCCTAAGTTCAACATAGCTTTCTGTGTCACAACAGGTTACGTTTTTTCCCCTATCACATACATTTAAGTGCTATCCTGATTGCTTTACCATAGGTGATAGCCAAAACCGAGCTTTGGGCTACCTGAATCACCAAATTACTAACAGGACAGAAGGTGAGTTCTACTACCTCTAGCACTGCTGCTAAATCTGTCAAAAGAGGTAAAGCACTCATTTAGACCACCTTCTGCCTATGAAGACATGTTTATTCTCAAACATCCTCTAAACTCTAAAGACATTCAAAACCCAACAGGCACCTTCGTCTTGGAGCAAATGAACTGGCTCAAACAGAAATGCTCACTGATGTTTCTCTGAAATGGCTTTTAGATACAATCCAGAACTTCCAAACACATCCAGGTCAAACTTCAATACTGTAACTGACAGATTAAAAATACATAAAAGCTTTAGAATCTGTTGTAACTACAGATAAGATCAGTGTAGGAAACAAGAATTTGTCATTTAACTCTAGCCTACTCTGCACACAGTTTTGCTAGCACTGAGCAAATCCTTATGTTAGCTTTGTAGAAAATAGATAATCTCATTTAATTTCCAAACTGTCAAAAGATGTATTCCCACCACAGTGAAGTAATGCTGGTTATAGAACAGAGAAAAGACAATACTGTCTAATGGAAGTGACTTCAGTGCTTCCATCATTTGTGGACTATCACAAGAACTATTCAGCCTGCAATGCAGCTTTACACTGTAGACACTACAGTCAAACAACACCAAGGCAGGTAAATACGCTGGACGTTTATGTATTTCAGCAGTAGTTTCTCTCAAATAACTACAGTTCAGCTACAAGAATAGGAACTGCTCTGTGATACGAAACTCCAGCTGGTTATAGTATTCCTACAGCTATTTGTAATACTTACACTACATCATACAAAATTAAATCAGAGCTGTACTTACACAAGTAACTTGTTCACATCCAGACTAGCACTCCCAGTGGTGAAGCTGCACCAATGACAAAGTTTGAGGTTTTTTGGTTTGG